CCGCACCCAGTGCCTTTGATTTTATTCTTAGGCTTGGAACCCAATTTCAGTAGAATAGAGGAGCTCACTCCACTTTCTATGATTATCATTCTAATAATAATAAAAAGAATGGGCATACCCATGCAGAAAAAATGATTATCTTGCACCAAATAACAAGGACTCATTTCTAATTCCACGTTATTTCTTTTCACCTCCACCATCACAAATGATGTGGACTTCGCCTGGACGTTTTGAACAGGAAAACCACACAAGAAGCCCACTCTAACCATAGAGAATAAGAAATCATCCTTATCAAGGTACGGTACCTACTTGATTAACTCTCTTGGAAACTGTGAGTGTTTTTCAGAAAATATCCCTTTTAGGCTTTCTTCAACACAGATATCACATACGCATACCCGTCCTAACAGATAACTGGAGGTAGTGGTTGCCATTTCCGGGTGCTCCTGAGGTGGCTAAACTCCCAGAGGCCTCCGTGCATTCTTTGACGAGTGCCTGCCACTGTTGGCAGTAACTGCCTGCCCTCTCGCAGAGCCACTGCCCAATTGTTTACTAAGCTACTCTGCTGACCCCTGTGTTTGCAGTTTTACCATGTCATTCAAAATTGCTGCAATCCGACCATAAGCTTTTTTGTTTTGTCCCTTACTTGATTGTTACCTCATTCATACTCATTATTTCATAAATTGCTAGTTCTCAACCCTGGCTATTTAAGAAAATTATGTAACTTTTTAAAAAAAAAAGCACCATGCGATATATACATCTATCAGAAGAGCTAAAATTAAAATAAATAATGAAAACAGTAAATGCTGATGAGAATGTAGAGAAACTGGATCCCTTGTTCCGTTGCTAGTGGGAATGTAAAATGGTGTGGCCACTCTGGGAAACAAATCGGCAGTTTCTTTAAAAACTAAGTATGTACCTACCATCCAACTCAGCAATTGCACTCTAGGCATTTATTCCAGAGAAATGGAAATGATGTGCACACAAAAAATTGCACAAATATATTTATAGCAATTTTATTCTTTATAGCCCCAAACTGGAAACAATCTGGATGTTGTTCAATGACTGAATAGTTAATTTGTAGTGTGTCCATATATAGTTGACTCTGTAACAATATGGGGGTTAGGAGTGCCAACCCCCTATGCCATCAGAAATCTGCATGTAACTTTTGACTCCCCCAAAACTTAACCACCAACAGCCTACTGTTGACCTGAATCCTTACCAATAAGTTAATTACCTAGATCACACCAACAGCCACCTTACTCTCCCTAGTCTCTGCCTCTTTAATTTTCCAATCATTTTCAATTTATCCTTCTTAAAGGATTTTTCCAGAGCTGCTATGCAAACCACATAGTTATTCTTTGAGTGTACCTCGTCCCCCATCCCCCCAACCAACCTGATCAGAAGATATTTTAAAAAGTAAAATCCGCTCTTCAGAAGAGAAATATTGTATTACTCCGGGAACAAGCTTTGTTTTGAGCACTAGAGCACATGTTTAGTTTGTCAAGACTGCATTAAAAGGAACAAAACAGATGCAGCAATGTAGCTTGTCATGTGTTTCTTTAAAAAGATTTCTTATAAATGCACCTCAAATAATTGGTACCATATGGTTTGGCCTTTCCTTGTGGTCTCACTTGTTTGCATATGTCACCCTTATCTGGATGGAATCTGATTTTCTTTTGCATATGTGTGGAATCCATTGATTCCTGCAAACAGCAGTTCCCTAAAAGGCTAAAAAGGCTATTGAAAAGGACTATGTTATAGTTAGGTTCCAAAGACAATTAGAAATGAAGCAAATCTGTTGACTGAAAATGGCTCAGAAATCAGACATTTTCTTTCTTTTACAGCCACGCTGAGAGTATCAGTTCAGAAGACAGTTTGGAATTCTTTTTAGACGATGATACGGACTATGATCTGGTAACCAGATTATCTTTTTTTGATTTAAATATTGTGTTTGATGAAAAGTATAAGTGCTCATTTTTTTCTTTTAAAATTAAAATTTCCTATTCCAAATATTACACAACTTTCCAGAAGAAACTATGATTTTGACACTGTTTCCCAGTTGCATCTATAGTTCATCTTTGTCAGCATATTATGAAAAATGTTTATAAGAAGGTAATAATTTAGGAGATACATATATTCTCTACAGTAGTCCTATAGAGAATAAAACAGTCACTTCCTGATTGCTTGTCATTTTACTGGAGCTTGAGATATGCTGTGTAGCTGTACCGTAAGATAAATCAACCTTCAGCAAAACAGCCCTCTATTTTACAAGACTGACTTTGAGCTAACCCCATCCTGAATATAACCACAGAAACTCACAAGGAACAAAAAACATTTCAAAACACCATCCATTATTACATATAACACATCTTATACAAGTGATCTTTTTTTTAAATTATAGTTAAAAAAAAAAAAAAAAAGTAACATAGGGCGCCTGGGTGGCTCAGTTGGTTGGGCGACTGCCTTCGGCTCAGGTCATGGTCCTGGAGTCCCGGGATCGAGTCCTGCTTCGGGCTCCCTGCTCGGCGGGGAGTCTGCTTCTCCCTCTAACCCTACCGCCTCTTGTGCTCTCTCTCTCTCTCTCAAATAAATAAATAAAATCTTAAAAAAAAAAAGTAACATAGAATCTATCGTCCTAACCATTTTTATTTTTTTAAGTTTGTTTATTTATTTATTTATTTATTTATTTATTTATTTATTTATTTATTTGACAGAGAGAGACACTGCAAGAGAGGGAACACCAGCAGGGGGAGTGGGAGAGGGAGAAGCAGGCTTCCCGCGGAGCAGGGAGCCTGATGGGGGGCTCGATCCCAGGACTCTGGGATCATGACCTGAGCCGAAGGCAGCCGCTTAGCGACTGAGCCACCCAGGCGCCCCGTCCTATTTTTAAATTTAAATGTACAGTATAGTTAACTATATGCACATTGTTGTGCAACAGATCTCTAGAACTTTTTCATCTTGCAAAATGGAAACCTGTACCCACTGAACTCCGCTATTCTCCCTCTCTGTAGCCCAGGCAACCACGGTTCTTTTTAAGAGTTTGATTACTTTAGATACCTCATAAAAGTGGAATCATGCAGTTTTTTCTCTCTGTAACTTGGCTTATTTCACAGAACCTATTGTCCTCCAGGTTCACTCATGTGGTAGTGTGTGCCAGGATTTCCTTCTTTTTTAAGGCTGAATAATATCCCATTGTATGGATTTACCACATTTTCTTTATCCATTCATCCATCAGTGGACCTTTAGGTTGCTTCCACCTTTTGGCTATAGTAAATATGATGAACATGGTGTACAAATACCCAAGTCATCTTTTTAAAAATTAAATTTAGTTAAAGTAATACGTATATTTATGAAGTTTTTGTAAAATATAAAATTAAATGGGGAGAGAAAATGACCTTCACTTAGCCTCCTTTTTCTTTCTTCTATTCCCTTTCCTGCCTTTCCCTAGAACCATCTTTCCTTTTTTCCTGCCTTGGTCTCCTCTTCTGCTCCATCCCTTCTTCTTTCTATTTTCCTTACCTTCCTTTTTCCCTTCTATAATACCTTTCATCTCCCCAAGAACCATAAATGTCCTCTTCCTGAAGGCCAGCTCTCATGGAAATAGGCTCCTTTGCCATTCTCTGCCCATGCTCCTCATAATCAGAATGGCATTCCTTTTCCCCACTGTATTTTTCTAGATAAGTCATATGTGCAAAAGTAGCATATTTTTAAGTGAATTATATTCATTTCTGATTGATTAGGAGCCAGAGCTTTATTTCAAAGAACCAGAAGAGTTACTTCAAGTCCTCACAGAGCTGGAAGAGCAGAATCTAACTTTGGTACAGTATTCCCAAGATGTAGATGAAAATCTTGAAGATGTAAATAAAAGAGAAAAACTTATACAGGATAAGATGTAAGTTATTAAGAACAAGTAGATTTATTATCTTAAGCAGTCTCTGACCAGAGACAGAATCCAACTTATTCCTGTGTGAACCTTCCTCAGGGTCTCTCTGATTTTAGGGTGGGATTTTTATTAATAATAATTTACATTGTAGGGTGTAAAATGTAGAAGTTATATTTACACAGAGTAGACTGACTTTAGTTTTAGTCTCTACTTCCTTACACTTGTCAAAATATTTTCCTAGCTAGCAATAATGAAAGGCAGTTTGAAAGATTATAAAGAATTAAAAGGTACTGCCTTAATTTTTTTTTTTTTATTGAAGTATAGTTGACATACGTGTTACATTAGTTTCAGGTATACAGCATAGTGATTCCACAACTCATTAAGTTTTGTTTGGTGCAGTTTTCACTCTACCATCTGGCTAATCAAATCAGGCTTTGGATGATAATGCTAATCACTGCAGTTTTCCTTGGTCGTGACTCTCAGCAAAGTTATGTGACTTAAATATTAGAGCATTTTATAACATACATATGTAGATACAGCAGGGCTCTCATAAAAGGGATTTCTGTAAGGGGAAGGAGGCTGGATTTGATGACTCAAAAAATTCCTTCTGCAAAGTTTTATATAATTGGAAGTAATATTGGACACTATTGGCAAATAGCTTCAAATTGCAGAGGATAAATCTGTTTATCTACCCATTATAAAAATGTGTAAAGCCTTTTTAGGAAGAGTTTTCTGGGCCAAAAGATGGCAATCTTTTCGAACAGTAGGTCAAACTACACTGAACTTTGAACAAATTAACTTACTCAAAAGTTAAGACCCTACAAATCACGATCTCACAGCCACCCAGTACCACTAATGTATCCTTTTCATCCTTGTCTCCTCTCTCACAATCCTTACAGCATATGGTGCCCCAACCCTACAATATGAATTTTGGGGACGAGGTGGGTATGGTTGGGCAGGAAAAGGGGATCTATGCCAGAACAGAATCTATCTCTAGGTCACACCACAACTTGGCTTCCTGACACATCAACTCTGCTGTTATTTGGGGGCTCTGGGGGAACCACAGGAAGAACATGCTTCCTGGTGCAAGTTAAAAGCAGCATCTGTGCATTTACTCTTCTCATTTTACCTGAAAAGTTGAATGTACTGACAATGTCTTAAACTATAAACTCATATTTGGCTTGCTAGATATAGGATGTTGACACATGATATGGAAAGTGTTGAAATTCCTGACTGATGATTTATTTCCAAACCACAAATTACAGACAAGGGTCTCTTTCTTCTTTTGCAACAGAAATAGCAACATAGAGTTTCTTCTGGAGCACAAGGAAATGCTTAAGGCTAGCTGTGTGAGAGAAGAGGAAAAAGCAGCAGAACTGGAATTAAGGTCCAGGCTATTTAGTTTTGGAGAATTTAAATCAGACACTCAGGTAATCCTGCTTTGCCTTTGGTAATTTTATTTTGTCTCATGTTAATAATAATGTGCATTCCCTGTCCCCTAAGCATTGGAATGGGGAGTTAAAGCATACCACAAATCCTGGGTTGATGATAGAGGCAGAAAACCAGCTTGGAATTATCATGTCAGTATGCAATAGTCAATTTACATAGTAGAAAGTATTCAAATTAGCATTGGGGTTCTCTTAAAATGTTGCTCCAATTATTACAAGGTGTGATGCTGAGATTTTTTTCCCCCTATAGATACATTTCTTTTAGAGTGTATATACATGAAGTAGTTCATTACCTATGATCATTTGGTAGTAACTTGAAGAGCAAGTAATTAACAGGGGAGGCACTGAATCAAAACTGAATGGAATACCTGCCCAGCACTGAGCCTCTAATAGATTTTGGCCTCTCTTGCATATATAGATCCATTATTGGAGCCTCTGGTGACACACACTAATGGGTGTGCATGTCTCCCAGCTGGGTGCAGACCCCTCCAGGGCAGGGATTGTATGAGCTTTCCTAGTTAGGTATGTTAAGTGTCCCTATAAAGTAGGTGCTCAATAAATGTTTGTTGAATGAATGATTAGTTTCTAGACCCACAACAAACTCCAACTAGCATTGATTTCCTTGTAAAAAATCTCAAATGAAATAAAAATTCACATCTCATATGTGAGGCTAATAACACATTTATGGTTATTATTTATGGTTGATTTTCAAACAGAGGTAGATCTGGGGGAACTCATTCAGAAGACTATCCTCCCTAACCATAGGATGGGCAAGGTTACAAAAGCAAAAGTTATTTATGACTCATTTACACACACACATTTCCTAGGGTGCTATAGTGTCCTTAGTTAGGAGGGAATGGGGTCATACCTTGTTAGAGCAGGAAGTGTGATGACAGCCACCTTTCAGTTCTTCCTCATTGGCTTTTTATAAACCTTGTGTGTGTGTGTGTGTGTGTAGTAAAATATATGTAACAAAACTTACCATTTAACCATTCTAAGTGTACAATTAAGGGACATTACATATATTTGCAGTATTGTGTAACCATCACAACCATCTATTTACAGAATTTTTCATCATCCCAAATAGAAACTCTGTACCCATTAAACAGTAATTCTCCATTCCTCCATTTCCTGGCCTCTGGTAACTTTTATCCTACTTTCTGTCACTATAAATTTGCCTATTTTTAGGTACCTCACATAAATGGAGTCATACAATAATCGTCCTTTTGTGTTTGGCTTCTTTCACTTAGCATAATGTTTTCAAGGTTCATCCATGTTGTAGCATGTGTCAAAATTTAATTCCTTTTATGGCTGAATAATATTCTATTGCATTTATATTCCACATTCTGTTTATCCATTTGTCCGTTGATGGACATTTGGGGTGCTTCCACCCTTCATTGTTTTAAATAATTCTGAAGCTGACTGACATAAAAAATGTCAGATAAATATCAGCGATATTTCACCCTCCCCCAACCAAACTCCTTTCATCCAGGTTTAGGACAGCTATATAAAACAGTAACATTTTCAATACTCTTAAATTTTGAGGCAACCAGATCCCTAAACAGAGTAGGCAGAATTGATCTGAAAATTACTTTTTAAAAGATAAATTTTGGTCACAAGTATAATTTTGGCATTCAAGTATATTGCACACTCTGGGAAAATGGGCCTAATAATTCATAGTGACTCCTAGAGATGTGAAATGCTAGTGTGGAAAAGGGGGGACAAAGCAGGAAAATTGACAGGGGAAAAGTATTCTTAGAATCACTCCCATTCTTTCAGATCCCAAAATGGGCAAAACATAATCCTTTATGAGTAAACAGCTTTATCTAATTTTGATATTCATAAATCATCACTTTGGATTGGTAACTATAAAATCAGTATTTTATTCTAAACTTCCACACTCCTATCTAATCCCTAAAAACATTTCTTACTGATTCAATATTTTACTTTTTTTTTTTTTTTAAGATTTTATTTATTTATCTGAGTGAGAGAGAAAGCACGAGACAGGGGAGGGTCAGAGGGAGAAGCGGACTCCCCGCTGAGCTGGGATCCGGATGTAGGACTCTGATCTTGGGACTCCGGTATCATGCCCTGAGCCAAAGGCAGACACTTAACCGACTGAGCCACCCCAGATGCCCTCAATATTTTACTTTTAAAATAAAATTTAAAATTCAAGTATAATGTAATATTGAAAAGCACACAAATTATAAGGTAAATTATAAATTCTCTTAAAAAATTTCCTCAAAGTGAATATACCCATGTAAACCACCCCCCCAGATTAGGGACTAGACCATTATAACCCCCCTCAGAAGCCTCCCTCACACCCCCTTTCCAGTCTCTACAATCCTTCAAAGGTGACCACAATCCTGACTTCTCTTACCATCAATTAGCTTTCATGTTTTGAACTTTATATAAATGGAATCATGTAATGTCTGGCTTATCTGGCTTCTTTTTCTCAAAATTATGTTTGTGAGATTCATCCACGTTATTTTGTGTAGCAGTTATCTGTTTTCCTTGAACATGAAATGGGATGTAAGCTATTGTGCAATCGGCAGGATGTATTCATCTCTTGTTTTACTCTTCCTTTTTTTTTTAAAGATTTTACTTATTTATTTGACAGAGAGAGATAGCGAGAGCAGGAACACAAGCAGGGGAGTGGGAGAAGGAGAAACAGTCTTCCTGCTAAGCATGGAGCCTGATGTGGGACTTGATCCCAGAACCCTGGGATCATGACCTGAGCCGAAGGCAGACGCTTAACGACTGAACCACCCAGGCACCCCTTGTTTTACTCTTTCAAACGGGGCTGATCTAGTTCAATTGAGAGTTGCCTGCAGTCAGCACCCAGCAGAATGTGACATGGGTTAGAATTACAGAATCCTTTAAATGACATCGAGACATCTCCTGCTCCCCTATCCAATGTTGATATAATTACTCCTCAACATTACTCTGGTCAGATCACTTCTCATTCACTGTCGGAAGGCATCCAGTCCTTACTTATCAGTTTTGGTCTTCCACAATTCTGGCCGACTCTACCTCTCAGAGCAACAGCTCCTCCCATCCCTTGCAGCCTCCCGGGCAGCCCCTCCTCCGAGGGACTCTGGGCTGGGTCTGCCATCTGGTGGCAGCTCCAGAGATTGGACGCTTCACTTCTCCATCATCAGTAGGCCTGGACCGTGAGCTCCCTTTTTCCTTTCCCTTCGGCTCTGTTGGGCCAGGCCCTTAATCTTTTTCTCATACATGAATATTTATTCCTTAACCTCATTCCCTAATCCTATTTCTTATGCTGTTCTTATCTTGTTATCTTAAGGAAACATCTCTCCTTGTCTTTTCCTTTCCTGTTTCACAAGGAGAACTTAAAAAAAAAAAAAAAGGCATTCTGGAAAAAAGACATCCTGAAAGGCCACTGCCCATCACCTCTAAGACTCTAAGTGTTCAAGAGCTCTCCTTCAGAAATTTTCATCAACTACTAACCATTCTCATATTAGAAGTTGCTTTTTTTTCTCAGAACCAGGGTTCAAAATATTTTTAAAAATAGGACTCCCACTACAGCAAGATTGTTTTTACATACCCAATATATACTTCTCCTTGATGGGTGGATTGCTTTTATTTTCCCTTTTATAGCTTTCTGTATTTCTAAAGTTTTCTAAAAGGAATACACCGATATATAAGAAATATAATAAATGTTATGTAGAAAGGGAGAGCAAAAAAGAGCTTTATGGCAAATAGGCCTTTTGCTTTTTTCTTTTACTTTTTCCTTTAATATTTCTTTGTGCTTTTCCAAGTTTTCTAAAAGGAGGATTTTTTTTTAAAGTGAATTTTAATTCCAGTAAACAAGGTTTATCAGTTTCAGGTGTAAAAAGGAGCATGTTTTTAATATAACAGGAAATACAGTAAGTGTGAGAGAAAAAAAGGGGTGCTTAGTGGTAAACAGGACATCAGAAAGGTGATTAAACCAGGAGGTGGGAGAGACAAGCTCTTGGAAGTTAACTATTGGTAACAGATCTTGACTTGTAATTAAGTGTTGGTGGCTCTGTAAGGAGTCTGTGATTCCAGGAGGGGTTTCCCATGGTTCCTGGCACCACATCTGTCTTGAGTGTTATTTGTCCTTGGCTTCATGATGATTCTCATCTTCTCGAGCAGAAGCAGGAATTTGGGCAGGATGCTACCTGGAGAACGATTTACTTTGCCCAGCAGTTTATTGAGATCCTCTTAACTGCGAATGCCGGGTTCACGGTGGAGAAAGAGGCTGAGAGTTATTTGGTCCCGAAACACGTTACCTACAAGCTCGAGCGTATCTACCAACAGTTAAAACGGCGCAGTGGCCAGGTACAGGGATCAGCAAGGTTTGGCCTAAGCCTCTGCTTAGACAAGAATACTCCAACGGCTTCCAATGGCAAGAGTGAAAATTAAACTCCTTAAAAGACTTTGTAGGTCAACCTGGCAATCTGTTTGCTTGTAACTTTTTTTTCCTCTGAGAGAATGCATGCAGTCATTTATTCAGCAAACATTTATGAAGTGCATAGTTATGTGCAAGGTGCTGTTTTAGTTAAGTGTAAACATAAGAAATAACTCCTGCCCTCCAGGTGCTTACAGTCTAGAAGGGGAAACAAGGCATGTACGCAAATAGCTTTCATACAGGATGATTGTAGTTTCAGCAATGAAGAGTAGTTAAGTGCAAACAAAACAAAACAAACAGAGCTCACATGTTGTGTTGCAAGGAAATGCACTGGAGTGTCAAAAAAAAAAAAAAGGATTTAAAATGTATGTATACATTGCCTCTACTTGAATACTCAGGGAATCAGGTACATAAAAACACTCAAGAAAAGATACTGTCATATAAAATTGCTTTTTATACCTAGAATGCAATTATTTTTGAAAGAAAATAGTCCAAGGTGTTACTACAGTAATGATCTAACTATAAATTATGATATATCACTGCTGCATTTTCTCACCGTTCTATGTTATATTAAAGTTTTTCTTCTATTTTAAAGATTATTGATTAGAGAGAGAGAGAGAGAGCATGAGCAGGGGAAGGGGCAAAGGAAGAAGGAGAGGGACAAGTAGACTCCTTGCTGAGCAGAGAGCCCACCCCACAGCATGCGGGCTCAATCCCAGGACTCTGAGATTATGACCTGAGCCAAAGTCAGGCACTTAACCGACTGAGCCACCCAGCCACCCCTAAAGTTTTTCTTTTAAAAAGAAATACGTAGTATCATATAAGAGCCTTTTCATTATAATATAGTAAAATGGAACTTTACATTTATTGAATGAACGAGAAAATAGTGATGAGATGTTATGTTTTCTGCTCCCCTTTTCTTTTCAATCTCAGGAAAAACTGATAGACTCTCTTAGCAAAAAAATTAATCAAGTATACAAAGTCTGCATTGGAGATGCTGATGTTGGCAGCCTCAACCCAGTTCAAAAGCTGGTAAAAGTAGAGTCTCGCCTGGTAGAACTGAGTGATCTCATTGAATCCATTCCCAAAGAAAATGTGGAGGCAATTGAGAGGATAAAACAGAAAGAACGGCGGCAAAAGTACAGTCAATATCTTATGATAGAAGTGTAGTGTAGTGAATGACTTAATGAGATGAGAAACTGTTCTTGCTGGGATTCCACAAACACTGAGCAAGCCCCTGTTACATGGCAAGGACTGCAATAAAGATGTAGTAGACCCAAACCCAGACCTGCCCTTCTCAGAGCTATTATTTAATGTGAAGACACATTCATCAAATATTCTTATGAAATAATGTGTCATTACCAAGCAATGAGCACTGTGAAGGAGAGTTCACTGAGGCAACAACTGATCTAGTTTGAGATGGGTAAAGGGTCATTTTAGCCTGAAAAAAATGGATTTTCAGAATGAATATTCACTACTTATTATTTTTGAAGAGCTATCTTGTGGAAGAGGAATTGCACTTGTAGTGGAGGGCCCGAGGCATAGAATTAGGAGCCCTTCACTGCAAGGAGACTATATATGAAGGAATTGTTTGAAAGTCAGAGCCATGCAAGGAGGGTTCTTCTGAGTGCATAACTGGCGACACTTACACACACAGCATCTACACATTAATTCATTCATTCCTCAAGACAACTTCATGAGGATTATCATCCCTGGAACAGCACCCCCTCCCCACCCCGACATACCCACATCCTTGCCTGCCTGCCTTTCCAGGAGAATGCACTGATTTACAAACTTCCATACCGAGTTAAATAAGGGTAACTACTTTTGAGGCAATGATTATAAATATTATGACCCCTAGTATAATGTGGCATGTAGAGAATGCCTATAGGTGGAATATTGTTCATGTCATAACAACAGTAACAAAAAAAGTTAAGAGGGAGACGAGCACTATGGCTGACCTGCTTGGCTTCAATGCAGGTTCTGCCATTTACAATCTCTGTGACCTTAGGTAGGGCACATAACCTCTCCTAAGCCTCAGTTTATCTGTAAAATGGCAGTAATGATGATACTTATCTCATAGGGTTTGTGCTTGGCACATAGTAAGTATTCAAACATTAGGCATTAGTGTTAGATATTTTATTACGGCTTACTGGTATATGGGGGGATATGGTTTCCCCCATATCAAAACAAAGTCCAGAATACATTAAGGTGATCCTGATGGCATTTCATTAAAACAAAATTTTTTTTTAATTATAAAAAAAAAATCACTCCTTCTGTAAGATGACCTATGGCTGATTACATTAACACCACTTGGATCTTTTCTACAGTCGGAAATATATTCTCATTGAATTGTAATTACAACTTATTTTCAATAGTGATGTATGAACCTAGTTCCAATTACTTATCCTTCTTATCAAAAAGAGAACTTTGTTTTTTCCTAGGTACCTGACACCTAATTTTGCATAAAAAATGTTCAGTAAATGTTATAACTGTTTAAGTCCATAAAATAGCTATCACTTATTGAGGTCTATTCTGCACCAGGCATTGGCCTGGACAGTTTACATAGGTCATTTCATTTAATTTTATCCTCACAACAACCCTAAAGAGAACAAGACAAACAGCATTTCTTGGTCTTAATTTCAGGATACCATTCAGAAAGGTTAACTGGAAAAGTACGCTTTTGTGGTAACTCAATGAACTATATATATGTATATAGTTCATTGTTTTATATATATATATAACTGTGGTTTGTGTACTTTTCTGCACATTATACTTTAGTAAAAAGGCTACTGGGGGGTCTGTTAATTCAAGAGGCCTTGTACACATTAACTGTGAAGTGCTCAAATATAAGTGGAGTGACAAGAAGGCTTTGCTGAGGTGCTTGTTTTAGACCAAGATCTGGGTAGATTTTAATTCTTCCAAAATGGTGACAAGCAATTTTCTCCCATTTTAACACAAATGGGATCTGTTGTTGAGATTTCACCTGAATATTCAAAAGCCATAGTATGGGTGAAGGTGAATTATTATTTTAATTTAACTCTTAGGGAGATCTTATAATATTTAGGCAGTTTATTACCCAAAAATAATGTAGGTCTTTTTTTACTTTCTGTGATTTATAGTTACAAGAATGTTTTCCTTTTTTGACAGGTTACGTGAAGAGAAAATCAAAGAAAAACAAAAACACCAGGAGGAAAGGCTAAGAGCTGCTCTGGAAAGAGCAGTAGCACAACCAAAGAAAAAGGTTTGTGTTTTGTTACCAATTGGTCCAGCTACATCAATATGTGAGTGCTTCTGTGGTATAAAAACAAAATACCTAATTCATATAATTTATCCAGCTTTGATTCGTCTCTGATTCCCTGTTAACTTTGAGGATAATTCAAATTTCTGGGTCTATAGTTCTCCTTAGACGCACTTTTCAGTGAAAGAAACCTTTCCCCTCTCCTCTTTTTCTTTAGCTCCAGATTCATGAAACCAGGTAGTTTTTTCTTTAATTTTTTGAATACATAATAACAAGCATACGGCTCAAAGTGCAAAAGATACAAGAGTATTTAGTGAAAATTAAGTCATCCTTAGTTCCCTTCCCTGGATGCAATCTCTTAAAGTTTCATCTGCATCCTTCTGGAAATAGTCTATGTATTTATGTGTATCTTCTTCTTACAAATAATAGCCATGAGCCTTGCTATTTTCAGTCAGCAATGGAGACAGCAAATCCAGAGAACTGCATATAATTGGAAGGGTCTTCTAATCCTCACCTTATAAAAAATAATGAGATTAATAGTTGATGTTAAAATGATTCACCCAGAGTCACTTCAGATTTAGCAGCAGGTCCAGGACCAGAAGTCAAGGTTCTTTATATTGCAACATTTTTGTTGATAAAATGATGGGGAAGACTGCCATTGTTAATTCTCATGGGCCAGGAATGTCAAATTCTGCAATGCAGGCGACAGTCTCACATAGTGATAGTGCCTCTTTTGAGACACAGTGGAGATATTCCATCAAATCTCATTTTCATCCATTTCATTTACACAAATTTAGAGATAGAAGCAAAACCAAATAAATACATAAAGGAAGGGGAAAAAAGACTAAAAGAGAAAAATAATTAGTAGTATAATATACTTGAGTATATGCCCCAGAGAATGAATAGGTACAAATCAAGGGCTTTCCCTAAGCCTCTCCTGGTGGGAACACATCTAAGAGCCAACAAGATTACTAGTGTTTAAGAAGATGTACATGGTTTCCTCAAGTTTTTATCTAATAGAATTTTTAAATGCCAGTCAATTGGTGTTCAGCAGAGGAAAATGATCTCTTCTAACCAATGGAGGAGAGCCTTGCTACGGCCCTGAGAAATGAAATGTTGGTCTCAAACATGGTGCTTTTCTAGGCCGACTGTATCTGAAACATAGGCTTTTAGAGGACTACCTAAATCTCCCAGCTTTCCCATGAAACCTAACCGCTCGGTCTCCTGCATTCTATGGTGCTCTCTTTGTTACTTAATTCTGCCTAGCATGTTGGACACCCATTAGGTTATCAATCCCTTTGTAACTGTGATTATTTACTATTTTGAGTCATGTTATTCCTTGGAAAAATCAAGTTAATATTATTTTACTTATGTTTCAACAGAACATAGTTACGCTAAAAAATATTAAGTATTTTTCTTTTGTTTCAGCTGGGAAGACGACTTGTCTATCGCTCAAAACCGCCATCTGGTAACAAACATGAACTACTTTTAGTCAAGGATACAAGAACAAAATCACTAGAGGATGAATATTTTTTCACTTGAATAGAAGCAGTAAGACATTTATTACCAGAATTTTTTAGGCATATTTTGTAGATTCTGGTTTCCATTAATGGCAGTATTCTGCCCCATATGCTGGTCTAAGCAATTTGAGGAAGACAGCACTTATTCTAGTGGTTATAGGATTGGGAATGGGAGTTATTTTCTTTTGTTGAAGCCTTTTATTATCATATACTAAGTAAAATTCCATACAGCTAAACATTTTTATCTTTGAGTTGTCCCAGTTGGGGATACACATCCAAAGTTTACTTTACTGGTGTAACTATGTGGTGAATGACCATTAAAGTGCAATAATGGCATTCTCTGACAACATGGGACTTTAAATGACCTAATTTGTTTTCAACCAGTTCACAGTTCATAGTATATATTTTATCACTGTGGAGTATACATTTTAACAATGTATAACTCTAAATGGTTTTGAGAAGTTTAAAACATAAATGAAAACCACTAGTACTATCCTCAGAATTTAACTGTGAGACTGGCTTTTAATTCACATTAAGGAGTTCTGTTCAGAACACTTAATTCTCTTAAGTGAACAAACCAAATGCTTTTAGCCTAAATATCAGTTCACAATTTCTGTTGTGCTCTATATCCACAATCATTTTAATTTTCAGGTGATGTTTCAATTTTAGCTGTAACATGTACATTACTTAGCTTACACTGACATAGAATTAACATGTAATTTGTTAGCTACTAAGTAAAATAAAACAGTATATATTAATTCTAAGAAAATATTTAACTTAATACATGTCAAAAGTTGTTCAAAAATAACTTTAAAAGAAAGTTGTTTTTAAAAGGTCTCAGTTAATATAGAATTACAAGAAAAGGGCTGAAATTCACCTTCATAAATGTTTATGAAGCATATAATTTTCCCCTGTAGAAAAAAAGATTACTGAGCTTACAAAAGAAAACCAACTTGAATGAAGCTGAATGGCTCTTAAAGTATTAATTCCGAATAATCTTTCAACTGTTTCAACATTTGAGCTCTACATTTAAATATCTGAATAGGAACAGTTCATGAGTCAAGTTGAAAAAAAAAATGTTTATTGTCTAGAAATATATATAAAAAAAATTCCCCACAAAAGATGCTATTCTCTCATTTCCCCATCTTCTTCTTCTTCTTCAACACCCCTGATATAAAGGACATTATTACACCTGTAAATAGAAAAACAATCCATTTTGTTGTTCCAACCGGAAACCACATTAAAATCTGAATTACTATTGCTAGATATTTTTGATTATAAAAATACTGAATGCTAAATTTACAATGTATCATTTCTTTCTTTTTTAAAAAATGTTTTCACCATTGATTTGTTAAAAAGCCCATGGCACTTATTCACCCAGTGGATGTTATAAAATAGTATCTTTATGATCTTCCACAAGGAATGACTCAAATTTGAAAGTGTGACTCTAGTTCAAGAAAATGAATATAACAAAAATCCCTAACAGCGGCCAGATCCAACTGAAATTCAAAACCAAGCTCTTGCAACTAAAACCACTGAAAAAGGTTACAGCTACAAGCTAGAAAGTTTACTATCATCACTAGAAAAATCTTAAGGATGAATAACTCCAAAAAATTTCCATCTTCTTGGACAAGTTTAAGGATTTCAAAATTCTTTAAGTTTAATTGTAGAATATGTTAATAGTGATTTAAAGTGATTCTGAAATTGAGGCATTTGTCTATTTAAACAGGTATTTCTAATGCTCTCCAGTCATTCCTTATATATACTACTGCTGTTTTGTTACCTTATTAAAACTTCACCCAAATGTCCAGACAATGCTCCATCTATGTATTCTTCTGTGTTTGCAAGCTTTAAATCAAAAGAAAATATATTAGTATAGTAACACAGGAAGAAAATAGTGTAACACTACCTAAAATATTAGGTAATATTGGTGAGAGAACTTATTAACTGAGACCTTTCTATACCAACAATTACCTATAATAGATTAGCTTTCTTTTACTACTATAGTACTTCTGGGTTTCATATAAACATTCTGTTAAGTTAACATTGATGGATGTAGAATATGTAATAAAGCTTGTTTCAACATAATTTTTTAAATCTCTTAGTTATGTAACATTTCTTTCTATTAGACATTAAAACAATATGTTGAGGAAAACAGTCTCTAATTTATCAATAAGTTGTGATTTTAAAGGTTTCCAAAAATTCAGTTATAAAAAAGTTACAAAATTCAGAGTACAAAATCTATGGCTAAATTATCAAATACTTTTATATTAGAACACCCAAACCAAAGAACTGAATAGTAATTTTTTTAATTATGTGCTAACAAAGAGAGCAAAATAAGTTCTTAAGAGAAAGTTAAACAATTCAGAGTGACCTTTATAGTTATTTCAGGAAACTCTAATTTTACATCAAAATGTTTAGGTTTCCTTCCACATACAGGTAATAAACTTTGTTACTTTTAGAAATCACAATCACTTAAAGGGCTCTCTATGACTACCATTCCAACCTTTTTATCATTCTTCCCCTACATCATTCTGCTTTGGCCCTTTTTTAAAAATTTTTATTTATTTATTTAAGAGAGACAGAGATAGCAACAGAGCGCAAAGTTGGGAGGAGAGGGAGAAGCCGCTCCCCGCTGAACAGGGAGCCCGGGGCGCAGGGCTCAATCCCAGATACCTGGGATTACGACCTGAATCTGATCTGAAAGCAGACACTTAACCAACTGAGCCACCCAGGTGCCTCTGCTTTGGCCTTCTTGCCATGCCTTCAACATACCAAGCAAGTTTTGGCCACAAGGCCTATGTACTTCTGTTCCCTCAAACTGAGATGCTCTTCCTTCTTTGATACGCTCTTCAGTTGCTCACTCAATCCTTTCTCTGCTTAAATTTACTTCCTCAGAGAACCTTTCGCTGGCTATCCTATCTAACACTGCACACTGTTGTCACTACCCCATTTCTGCTTTCTTTTTCTCCATAGTGTCTATCATTACCTGATATCACATTATATTACCATCTTCTACTACAACACAAACTCCTCGAAAGTAGTGACTTAGTTTTATTCATTGGTGTATACACAGAGCCAGGCACATCATGGACTCTTAATAAACATTTGCTGAAGGGCGCCTGGGTGGCTCAGTTGGTTAAGCGACTGCCTTCGGCTCAGGTCATGATCCTGGAGTCCCGGGGTCGAGTCCCACATCGGGCTCCCTGCTCGGCAGGGAGTCTGCTTCTCCCTCTGACCCTCCCCCCTCTCATGCTCTGTCTCTCATTCTCTCTGTCTCAAATAAATAAATAAAATCTTTAAAAAATAAAAAAATAAAAAAAAATAAACATTTGCTGAATAAATAAATTAAAAAACATCATTAATGTGGCTACTCAGATACATTTCACAACTCTGGCAGGCTCACCAGGAACTACATTACTTCTAAAACCAAATATTCCATGGGTATTCTTTATTTCTTTCTTTTATTGCGATATAATTCCCATAGCATAAAATTCACTTTTACAGTGTACAAGTCAGTGGTTTTTAATATATTCATAAAGTTGTATAATCACCACCACTATCAAAGTCTGGAACATTTTCAGCAGAATGGTATACTCTTCAGATTTTTCTATGGCCTTGGTAAATGATTCCTGCTTGAGGAATTTTCCAGGCCAAAACCATGCTCTATAAGAACTTTGGGGACCTAAGCATCATCTGTTTAAGTGGTAACCTCTTAAATTAAGGAAAATCTCAGCTTTTTGCCTACAAGTGCCCCTGTTAGTACTCTTCCTACAAGTACTACCAGTATGGAATACTTGGGAGTCATACTTGGACTGACCACCCAAGTAATCTTTAAAATCCCTCGGCCATTAATCAGTCACATAAATACCTATGCTTCAGGAAAATATAACTTCAGACTCTTTCGTCAAAAACCTGGCTGGAAACTACTACAATTAAGCAACAAAAAAATAAAACACCCCAGTTTTTAAAGGAGCAAAGGACATGAACAGGCATTTCTCCAAAAAAGATATATAAATGGCCAATAAGCACATAAAGATCGCATATCACTAATCACTGGGGAAATGCGAATCAAAACCATGAGGTATTTTACACGCATGAGGATGGCTACTATCAAAGAAACTGAAAATAACAAGTATTGGTGAGGATGTGAAGAAACAGGAACCTTTACGCTTTGCTGGTGGCAAGTAAAATGATACAGCTGCTATAGAAAACAGTATGGCAGTTCCTCAGAAAATTCCAGCAATTCCACTTCTGGATATATATCCAAAAGAAGTGAAAGAAGAACCTCTAACAGATATTTGTACACCCATGGTCGTTGCGTTATTCATAATAGCCGGAAGGCGGAAAACAATTCAAATGTATACCAACAGAAGAATGGATTAAAATGTGGTATATACATACAATGGAATATTATTTCAGTCATTAAAAGGAATGAAATTCTGATACATGCTACAACATGGATGAACCTTAAAAACATTATGCTAAATGAAATGAGCCAGACGCAAAAGGGCAAATACTATAGGATTCTGCTATATGAGCTAGAACAGAGACAGAAAGAATAACATTTACCAAGGGCCGAGGGAAAGGGGAGTTATTTTTTAATGGGTACAGTTTCAGTTGGGGACGATATAAGAGTTTCAGAAATCGCTAATGGTGATAGATGCACAATAATATGAATGCACTTAATGTCACTGAGTTCTACCCTTGAAAATGGTCAAAGTGGTAAATTTTATGTTAGCTATATTTTACAATTACAAAAAGAAAACAAGGGGTGCCTGGGTGGCTCAGTTAAGCATCTGACTCTTGATTTCAGCTCAGGTCATGATCTCAGGGTCATGAGATGGAGCTGCACGTTGGGCTCCAAGCTCAGCGGGGAGTCTGCTTAAGATTCTCTCTCCCATCCACCGCCCATCCCCCCGGCACTCTCTCTCTAAAATAAATAAATCTTTAAAAACAAAAACACCTGGTCCTAAACATTTACAGAAGCTAGCATAACAGACATTCAGTCACAGTTCATCAATTCCTTTGGTTTGGCCTGTCTTCTCCCTCAAGAAATGCTTTTATTGAATTACTTTGATTTTATGTCTTTAGCATTCATTAAAAGACCGAAGAAATTCACTTGAAAATTTCTTTCAGAAAAAAAAAGTAAAATTTCTTTCAGAACTAAATGTTGGGAGAGTTTTGCCTTTTCTACAAAACAAAACAAAAACCTCATTTGTGTTTTCCTTATGCCACTGTGACTCAAATATCGGAGTTCTTTTTATTTTAACCACTAGAAGTCAATTCTGTGGCTGAATTTTGGTTTTACAGGCCTCATACACAGTTTATCACAGTTATTATATCCTCCCTGACCTTGATTTTGTTTCTGAATTTTGTTTTATGTTTGTCACTTTGGTTGATTTCATTCTTATAAATCACAGTAAACCTTTGAGGAGTTAAGGTAGAGCAAAATAAATACAATTTAATGATTCTTATCTCTTCAGCTTACCTGCATGTTCATATAACCATCTACAGATACCAGGTACCCTTTGTACTCCATTCCCCACTTAAGTT